TTTATATTAATATATTCGGCTTGCCATCCTTAATCCCTGTGAGACAAAGTTGCAACAAAAGTTCAGTACATTTGTATAATCCTTTAGACACAAACCTTTGACAAAGTCTGGGTCTAAGATTGGATCCAGCCGCACCTAGGGCCCTCTCTGAGAAGGAGTTTAGAAAGCAAGGGGGTTCTTCCTGCACCACATGACTCGATGGGAAAGCTTCTCTAACAAACTTTGTCTGAAGCTCCCATTCTGCCCACAACATGACTTCCAGGGCACACTGCTGACTCATACTCAACTTGGCGTCAACCAGGAAACCCCAGGACCCTTTCCACGGCACTGATCTCCAGCCTCTCATTGCCCCATCCCAAGTGCAGAACCTAGAATTTGCCTTTGCTAAACGTCATACAAGGACTAAATGTCCAGGCCTGAGCTTAAATGGAACGCCTGAAGCAAGAAGCAAAGTACATGGGTTGGGGTCCAAGACTGGCCAGGGCAATTAATGCCAGTGGTGCACTGAGAGTCCTCACAGTGCAGCCTGTAACTTGAGTAAATACACATCTGAAAACCTGAGACCAAGCCAGGCCACACAATTACTGACAGAAAGAAGGATAAAGCTTTACTGTATTATGACTTTAGCCATGATTTACTGATGAGCAAAGAAGGTGCACATCAGTGCCTAAAAGCTTTGCAGAAGACCTGAAATCCACCTTCGGAAGAAAAGCTTACACTACTTCACATTCTAGAACCTCTCTCAGGAAAGGGACTCTTCGGAATGAATCATGAAAGGAAAGTTGCTGAAATCTGGACACAATTTTTCTCAATGCCAGCCATTCATGAAGGCATGAGCATCCATGTAACTGGTGCTACTGTTTAGTCCATATTCTAAATGCATTTAACAAAGTGAAGAGGGCAATGCTTTGAATTTATAGTTTCCTCCTCATATAACAAATGAAAGAAACTTCCTTTCTTCTGGACTTTTAATGCACAGAATTATCTAATCTACAAGTGGAAGAAAGTGAGAAATTGAAAGGATCCAGACTGGTAAAGCAGAATTAAAAACTGTCATGTGAAATTTAAGTGACATATGAACATATTAAAGCAGCTGGTCTGACATTTTGTGTTGTTATGGGTTTACTGTGCGAAGGAATGGAATATTATTTAATTCTTTGGTTTCTACACTCTTCCTATGCATGGGGTTTACAGCACTGGGATGCTGAAATGTAGCTGTCTCTCACTCTCCTGTATGCTCATGAACATAACCACTAAAAACAGGCAGGACGGGCAGACAAGGAGGCTCAGTGCATTGGAATTTTCAGCTATATCTAGCCTGTGCGACCTATAGGGCTCACCAATTTACATCATCCCAATCTAGACTTTCCCAAAACATTAAATTTAAGTGGTGGAGACAAGAAGTACAGATGCATATGAATCAACGTTAGATTACTGACTTCAGGAAGAGTGGTGATGTCTCTAAAATGCATTCAGTAGACACAGCAGAATGAGGTAGAATGGTAAATTTTCTTATGGACAATTAGGAGTCTGCAATGTTTCACCACAAAGAACACTTCAACTCTTTCAAAAAAGGTAAGAAAGCATTAACCTTTTCTACCTCCTGATCATTACATGTTTGTCTGAGTCTTTCCTGGGAATCCTGAAGCTGGTGACTATAATGTTCTTCTCATTCAGATTCCCATGGCACCTCAGTCTACCTCCTGTGTTAACTGCTTTCACCTTGGACACAAGCAAAAATAATTTCACTTGTTCTCCAAGAAGCCATTCTTTTAGACAAAGTAGGCTTAAATTGCAATTCAGAATGCCTTGGAAGCTGCTCAGAAGTAATTATCTTAGCCCATAGTATTTATTTACAAGGCCTCGTAGTTCATTATCCTAACCTGGACGAAGAGTAGTCAGAGTTGGTTCTTCTTCAAAAAAAATCTATTCTCCTTGGTTCTTTATTCATAAGTCTGGTTTGTCTGAAGCTCTTCATAGTTACAGTTACAAATGAGCACAATGCAGAAAAAGTATAAAAATATTCAAAATCTTCAGATGAAACTACAAATCCATGCATTTCAAAGCAAATGAAGCAGGAGTCTGAGTAAATCCAAAAGCCACTAGCAGTGTCCAATATTCCCTCATTCATTGGCAAGATGACCTGGCTGTGTGAGGTTGGCTGACAACATCAGAAAGTTGAAATGCCTTTTCTTGTACCACCTTCAGAGGAACCCATAAGACTTTCTGGCAGTCTCTGAAGCAATCTTGGAATGCCTCCAGATCGCCAATAGTGAAAGAGACAGACAGATTCACATCTTTATCCAGAAAGGATGATGAAAATTGAAGTTGCAAAATACTTTCACCAACTCCAAAAGCAAAAGAAAAGCAAAGTTAAATGAATTTTCACCGGGAAAAAATGTATTTTGATAGGCAGACTAAATGGAAAAAATATTGTTGAAGTCAGAGCCAAAATATCAATATATTCAAAACTTATAAAGCTGTAGGCCAGGTTAACATGTCTGAAGATTTAATCTAAGCAAAGATCAAAAAAGAACCTGAGTATCCTGCTATGATTCCTCAGTCAATTATGAGAAAAGGGATGCATGTCATAAGAATAAAAAAAGGAACTACCATCAAAGAAACTGATTTTTAAAAAAAAATCCTAAGTATCCTAGGGAAATTGTGCAGTTATTCTGCAAATTGCTTCCTATGCTTTCAACAGCAGTTCTGAGGAGCACCGTGCTGGAGGGTTTTCCCCTCCTATTTTAATAAGAATTTTGTACTTTACAGTACTATTAAATAAAGTAACAATGGATAGAATTCTTAAGGGCAACAAGCAGATTAAAAGAAAAGTAAAACAATTTTCACTGTGGATGTCTAGGGCAAATATTTAGAATGAAATCAACAAACAATGAAGTTGAAATCTTGCAGTTAGTGTTACTATTCACAACACTGCAAACAGTATAAATGAGAAGGTGGACTTACCTTTGCTATATTTCAAGAACACTGGACAAAAATTTCACTAAACAAACCCTATTCTGGCAAACCAAAGGCAGAAACAAAGAGAGGTCATTCCAGAGGGACCATTCAAAACACAGTTGCTGATGCACCAACTTTACAAATCAACAGCTTTAAGAGATTAAAAGTACTGGCCCACCATAAGATTGTTTAGGAACTAATATATTCTGTAAGTACCCCATGGTGTTAGGGATGGACTAGATTTGATTGGACAAGACCTATGGATAAAAAAATCAGCAAAAGTGTTCAGTCTGTGTAACTATAGTAGACCTAACACTTCAGTGGAGATTTGTCCCAAGTTCAAATAGATCTTTCCAAACTCAGACATTTAAAATTTATTTATGTGAAAAACACCTGGTGAACACATAGGAAAAATTGAACAGTTTTCCTCCTTATGAGAGTTCAAGAACAGACTTTAAAATATAGAAGGGTCTATCTCTGGTCTGAGCAATGACAAAAAAATTCGTTTTTAAAAATTGGTTTTGGGTTTTTTTTCCTTGAATGTTGCTAGCAAGTGAAAAATAATGGTTTATTTTCTTTGTTTCTTCTCCAGAACACCTAATACCACTGATCACCATGTAATGGGCAACAAACACACATATATACATAATACCTAATAAGCATGCTTAAAATATCTGTCATTAAGGGCCTGAATTACTTTTTTGAAGTTTGGCTAATAGAACTCAGTGGACACTAGAATACACTGACTTAGCCAAATTAAATATAGAGCAAGAACATACATAAATTAGTCCCTTCTTCCCAGGACATACTCATTTAATTGACTGCCCAGATTTTACACTTTAACTATTTTACCATTCACCTATATGAGTATTTAGAAACAAAAAGACAGATAAGTGATCTGTGAAAAGTTTTCTACTTTTTCATTACTCTTCAGTAACACAGTTTGAGCAGCTTATTAGAAAAACATAAGAAGGTAACAGATTCCAACCCCAGCAGTCTCTAGTTTCATTACTTTCTGGTATTCAGAGCAGGTAATACAGCAATGCTTTAGGAAAGAACATATATGCCCCCTATAGATTTAATGCATTCTTACCACAGAAGGATGGAAATAAATGAAAGACTCGTTAAGCATTGCCCAAATAGAAAATTCAGTACTAGAAAAATTATATTACATCTTTCAATAAATATATGTTTACATACACAAAAAGCAAATATGAAATTATTCTTTAAAGCTTAAACATCCTCCTGTCCAAACCCCTTTTCTTTTAAACATAATCCTTTTAGCCTGACCAAGAGGGATTGCCCCAAGTATTTATTTTCCTGAGCAATGTTCCCTCCCTGACATGCTCTTCCTTTGTCCCATGGCTTTCCCAAGTACAACACTGAAAAGTGTTTAGAAAAAGTGTAGCAGTTTATTCTGAGTTTATGATAATACATAATGCAAATTTATAGCACTACATACATTATTTGTAATAATGTTTTTACAATTGCATTTATATTTTAAAAGACAGATGATAAATGTGACCCTCTTTAGCATTAATGATAGGCTATTTTGAAAATAACATTTGCATTCAGGGCAAAGTAGCATTTTATATACACAATTAGATCTACAAAGATAGCTAAACATGGGTGAAAAACCTTAAATATTTAATGGCTTCCACATAACTATAATTGAAGAACAAACATTTTTCTTAGTCTCTTAAAATTAGTAAATTCCAATTAATTTTCCTTTTTGAAAAGCCTGACTGTAGATCTGATTCCACGTCCAAACTTCTACTGGTATTTCACAGCAAGTATGACAATTTTGAATAAAGATAAAGCATGGCTTTTTATTCCAAGGTACTTAATTAATTCTTACCTCAGTGTTCTTAAATCCCACAGTTTGATGCCATCACCTGCAGCTGTGGTCATGAAAAGGTTGTAAGCTTCAGATTGCTGAGTGCTGAAGGACGACCCCTGTAAAATATGAAATCAATTTCAGGTAAGCATTCTCATGGCATTAATTATTTACAGATTCATAGAATATTTCGAGTTGGAATAGATCCATGGGGATCATTGAGCCCAACTCCCTGCTCCTTGCAGGACTACCTAAAATTAAACCATGTGACTAAATGCATTCTCCAGATGCTCCTTGAACTGTGAGAGGCTTGGTGCCAGGACCACTTCCCTGGGGAGTCTGGTCCAGTGACCAACCACCCTCTTGGTGAAGAACTTAGTCCATTTGAAAAATAAATAGTAAATGTTTCTTAGGTTACGTGAAAAAAAAAATCTTGACTGCACACACACAAAAGAGTGAAGAGGAATGCTGGCATGTTGAGGAATCTTCATAATCCAGTCAGAGAAATGAGCACTGCCTTAACTCCTCTCAGTCCTGTCCCAGGACATCCATGATGCCTTTGCTCCAGGGGTGACACCCGCCATGAGGAAACAATGGGAGAGGCTCACTGGATCATCTCAAACTGATGAGGATTACTAAATATCAGGGTATGGGATCCATGATGTGGTGTAGAGAAAGACCTTTTTGTGATTGCACAAGACATTATGGGATGCTTAGGGGAGGAAATAAAGGCAGTGAAAGGGAGGGATCAAAGATCAGTCCAGCAATTAATTTTAAGCCATATTTAGCCATGGAATAAGTGGGAAAACTTTCCATTGACTTCAGTAGCAATTGTGTTCATTCAGAATAGGACTAATCTTAGCTTTGTATCTTTAAATAATTAAAACCAGTCTACCTTTAAACCTCTGATTTTTTAACATCCACATTGGCAGACGCCAGCCTTTTTGCTGGCTACAAACTTCTTTCTCCAGGGAACTAAATATAAACAGTGAAAACTCCTTCTCTTCTTTCCTTACCATTCACATTCTTGATTTGGCTGAATACATCACAGAAACCTCAAGGTCATTTCCCGCAATCAGTGTTTGACTGCCAGGAATCTCCTATTCATTATGAAAGCTGGTGTATAGCTTGCTCAAACAGATCCATTAAAATGCATCAGATTTCCCACAAAGTCTACAAATTCTCACATTAGCTGTGCATAACTATATAAAAAAATGCTAAGGCAAAAGACAAAGACAGTACTTGTCCAAAGGATTCAATTAATTAAAAACTACAGAGAACCCTTTCTTTTTGTGCTTTCGAAACTTCTACTCACCATCCCTTGCTTCAGTTAGCAATGATCACAGAGTCCAATATGAAAAGTTCTACAGACACATACACATTTACTTCATGCACTACTCCTTTACTATAGAATACACTAACAGCAATATGGGTAAGAAAAGCAATCTCTTTATTCCTTCCCTGCCCTGACATTTTGTCAGCAGTATACTTTACTAGCACAAAGTTATGCTTGTACCTTCAAACTACATTTGCTGCTGAACATTGATATAAAAGACAAGAAAATATAGACTAGTTGGGATAATATGCAAGTTGAATTTTATTTAGTACTTTGTGTTTTTATAGTCCATAATAGTCCAGGTCCATAATTTATGAGAATCTGATGCAAAAAGTAACATATTCTTGAAACTCTGTTCTTTCATTCTGATAGACAAATCATTTGCCTCTGCCCCATCATCTTCCTCATCTACCACTGTAACCTCTTCTCAGCTTCTCTCTAGACTAACTACATTGCAATTTCCACATAAAATCTGGCCTCAAGAAGAACATGGTTCAACAGAATTCCTATTTCTTTCACTAATTCCATATGAGCACCATTCATGTCTTCCAAACAAGCTTATGCTAAAGGCATCAATCAATAGATGTCTCAGAAAGCACTCCATACCTTCCAGGCAAGCACACAGCATTGTAACTATGGCTAGGAAAAGCTTAACTGAAACTTCTGAGACTCCTATTACATTTTTCAGCCTTCACATCAGCTACTTTTCCTAAGTAATGGAGCAATTGATTTTGAAACAAAAGGGTCTGAGCAGAAAACTGAAAACTTTGGTGTTTCTGTGGAAATGAGTGTACTCTATGACTGTGCTAGCAGAACATAATCCCATGTAAATATTTGTGGGTCATACTGATAGATTCCTGTTCAAAAAACATGTTTTGCAGCATTACAAGCATATTATTAACACTAAAACTCTGAATCTTTGTGGTCTAATCTCAAACTGCCATTTATTTCTGCATCTCAGATGTTCCTAATCTCTAAGACAGGAACACAATTTTGATATTTCAATCAATTTCTTTTACTATATCTCTTAAAAGTTAGTATGCAAAGCAATGGAATGACATAAAAACCTTAATCAAGTACATTACAGGCTGAGATGGATTTCACACACTGGCAATTCTTGCAATCTCTAGAACAGATCAGAACAACTTAAAATCCAAGTCTTTACATTGCAAATTATATATAGTTGCTTACAGTTGCTTCTGTCCAAAACCAAAAATAGCAGCAGGTTTCTAGAGGATTCCATGTATTTAACGATTGCAGACAGGTTCCTCCCACACTTAATCAGAACATATCTTCCTTAGTGTGTCCCAAGACATTATAAATAGATTTTCTATTTTTTACTTATTTAAAGAATTAGTTTTCTGATTATCCCCACTTACTACTGTCCAGGTAGCATCATGTCTTGGAACATGAGAACTGATTTGCATGAATCTAAACTAGAAAATGATACATATATATATATATATATATATACATACACACACACATATATATATATATATATATACTGCACTCACTAATGAGTATTCAGTCCACAGATGAGACTAGGAACAGACCAAAGGAGAGCCTTCAAATATTTTGGTGTGTAGGCACTGGATCTTCAGCAACTGTTTCACTCTACAGATTTGCTTCTAGTGCATCACCTCTCATCATTAGCTAACCTGAGATTCCAATGTGTTTCATACTTTAAACAGGATGAAGTTTGCACACAGCATTCTGCATGGTTTTATGTCTATAAAATATTTTCACACATTACCTTCATGTAAATGCAGTTACTCTAGCAGTTTTAAACTATCCAATGTAATAAAATAGTTGATTTATTATTTTCCTATTGACTTGTTTAAAATATTAATTTTATATAACTGAAAAAAAATAAGAGAACCTTGATGTATAATTTTCCCAAAAAATGGTCAATATTCTTTGCTATACCACATACTTCTAGGTTTTTCTCCCAAGATAATACTTGCTTCTTGATTAAATAACCTGAAGGCACTAAGCTGATCAAACAAAAAGAAAAGCCAGAATTTTAAGTCTATTTGTGTTACAAACAGTACTGAAATAGTCAGCACAGTTTGAAGTGTTTTACCAGATCACATCTCTAAGGAAAACCCACAAAGAGTTCTACAACAGTAATAATAAGGAATTGTTTTAAACCCACAGAATCATGGACTTTCTCCCTGGGAATACCACATTCAATCAGACCTAACACAGTAGGCATTCAAGAACGTATGGTACCACAAGAACTCCAAACACTCAAATCATTCTTCAAGGGAAAAAAAAGACCAAGGATGAGAGGGCTTTAGTCATCTATTGTGTTGCAGTACTGAGAATCTCTTTTTTTTGGTTTCTGTTTCTTAAGTTTCAGAAGAAATCTGACTATGTCAGATTGAATTTAGAGGACAACAGTTACACAGGGAAAACTTCCCCCTGAACTACAGTATTACAGTCTAGCACAAATAAGGCAAAGAGTAATAAGCACTTCTCTAATAACAAGCTTGTTCAGCCATTCTCACCTCCTTTACACTAGAGAACAAATGAGATCTGGGTGCCTTTATCACACAGACTTATGTCCTTGCCCATCCTCCCCAACATATAAAAACATATTGATTACAATCAATTATATTTTTAGCCTCCAATTTCTTTGTTGATGATGTTGCAGTGGTACTACAAATAAAATTCAATAAGGTATATACCTTGTTTTGGCAAATCTGATGGACTGATCTAGTATGAACTTCTGATATCACTGCTGTGCTGCAGCCTGCATTGAGGTCAAAAACTTCCAGTGCTCGGTTGCTGCCAGCTGTAAGTACAATATCTGTACAGTTCTCTGTGTTAAAGTGATCTAGAGGAACAAAAGCATATAGATAGACAAAAAGATAGCTAGATAGCTAGATAGCTAGATACCAAACCTCTGTTGCATTTATTACTCTATGAGCAGCATCAAAAATCTGACAGTACTAAAAATTCATGTCCAAGGGTTAAGTGTAATATCACAAAAAATACAGCTTTTTTACTCTAATAGAAAAGGAGTGGTAAATAATCAAATGCTTCTTACTTTAACTGAAGTTATGTCCATGTAATTGAACCCAAAGAACTACAAAGACAGTAAGAAATACAAAGGATACAAGAGTAGAAATCATTTACTGCTGAAAGGCTGGTAATCTCCACTGTAGAAGCCATGGGAAATTTCTGTACCAAATTGCAAACACTTCTCTGTTTGTATCTGCAAAGAATATCAAGTGAATGCTAGTGTTAATGAAATAAATTATGATTTGTGGTCACCAGCAAACTCCCACTGGAATCACAAAACAAATCAAAATGCTTTATTTCATTATTAAAAATTAAAGCCACAGATATTTTGATTTATTGCTGAACTTCATTAAAAAACTTGGTAATAGAACTCATTTGGACGAAAAGAAACATGATATCCATATATATAAGACTTGTCTTGCATCAATGTGAAACACTAAAATAATCCTGTATATATACTGAAAACATTGAAGAGAAAACAAATCTGACAAGTACTTGTGATCAAAAAGCAGAAATGCCACTAGTTTCAGTATAGTCTTTAATGTGCTGGCCACAGGTCAATCAGAACGAAAACAAGGAGAAAACAGTGAGGAAAGAAACAGAACAAGAGGCTGATCACACACTACTGAATAAATTTTCCTTCACAACAAGTACTGGACTGTTTAAGGTCCTGTGGGTTACCTGCCAACTCCATGCAGATGTGGCAAACAGGGCAAGACCTCTAAAACGACTTCAGACTTATTCATATAACACAACAGAGAGCTGTGTTGTTATTCAGTCTGATTAGGTCTTTCTGTTTATGGAAATATATCGACAGTGGCAACATGGATCTCTTCTTAAATCCACCAAAGTAAACATAAAATATTACTCAATGGAGATGGAGATGGATATGTGTATGCATATGGATATGTGGGGCAAGAAAAGAGTGATTTTCATAGAAGTCACCAAGGGAATGTAAATAGTTAATAATAACTGTACTGGGCCGGGTTGGGGTGGAGTTTATTTTCTTCACAGTGGCTTGGTACTGTGTTTTATACTTGTGACCAAAACAGTGTTGATAACACACCAGGATTTTAGCTGTTGCTGGACAGTGTCTGCACAGAATTAAAATAATTCCAGTGTAAACAGTTAACATTATACTGGTATTTTAGCATGTTTTTCTAGTGACAGAACAAAAGTCCATGCATGACACACTTGTAGGAATCATTACTACTTCTTTCCAACAATACTAAAAGTTTGCAAAACTGAGATCATTTGACAAAAGTAAAATGTTTATCAGCTGTATCTGTTCAAAAGAAAAATGGTTAGTGACTTGCTTTTTCCTTTACTTGTCATTCTCAAACAATGGTCTGCTGATTTTTTGAGGTAGACATTAGGGCTACGTCAGCTGTGATGGTGAAGCAGAAGGTAAAATACTGTGTTCTGCAATTTAATCCAATAAACTTTTGTAGTTTCCAGAAGTATTTTATTCAAGTAAACTAAAAAATAAACTGCACTAGACTTCAGGAGCAAATGATTTATCTCTATTTTTGGGTAAAGATATCCAAGCTAACTTAAAACAAGCTGACTGAGATAATAGAAACAATCTAATGAAGACAGTATGAAGCGTCCTCTGGTCTAATTTACCCTGCTAAAATAGGCTTACTGAAACAGTTGCAAAAACAATTGCTTGAGTTAGTTCAACTATCTTGCTTCTACAATGCAGATGGCCACACAGATGAACACCTCACAGGGTGCTGCCCGGGTAGAATTTCAGATAGAAATCAAATCAACCAACAGTTAACTGAGATTCATCAAATACAAGTTAGGACAAAACTGAGCCAAAGTAACAGAGGGGAAAAAATGGAGGAGTACCAATTAGTAGAAAAAGATAAATCTTAGTATATTTATGACCTTTTTTTTTTAACACAATGCAGTTGCAAGTCAATTAAAATTCAGTCAGGCATTATGAACACACTGAGCTGGACACTGTACATTAGCTCTTGCCTCTTAGAGACTACAGTTTATATAGCAATTTGGGTTACTTTTTCATTGCTTTATTAATATCTTCATAAACTAAGAATTAATGGGCAATACAGAAAGCAGATAATCAGATTATGGAAGGAAAGTATTACATTATTCTGTCTGACCATTTTAACATTTCAGTGATGTTCAGGTTCATGCCCCAATCCAGGAAAGCACTTCTATTCAAAAACACATTTAAGGTTGTGCTTAGTATGTTTTCCTGTGCAGCAGCAAACCTACCAAGAAAATATGCCAGTTTTTCCCATCTAAGGATGCAGTCCAATATTGTTTAATGTCATGAACAGAAAAAACACACCATTCACAATATCAGCTAATAGACTTCAGTGTTGTAGCCTTAATTCTGCTTGTCCTTCCACTCAGAATCCAAAGTATCAAAGGAAAACGTCACTTCAAGGAGTTTTTAAATGCAATTGTGTCTAAAGTTATACATATATACAGGCACATGTATATATATTTCAATGTAACAAAGTCTCACATACATACATACTGCTGAAAAACAGCAATAGCAAATAAAGAGCAGAGAATCTTAGTAAAAGGATATAAGGGCAATTTTAGTTATGAACTAAAAGAACAGAAAAGATATATCAGATCTTAAATAAAAGAAATTATTCAAGTCAGAATGTAGGAGCCACATAACTATAAACAGAATGGTCTTAGTAAGAAGTGCATGAAGGATGCCTAACAATGAAAAAACAGGGACATAACAAGATAGTAAGAAAAGTAATTAGATACAATGTAACAGGTGGAAGGTCAATGAAAATTAGGAAAGTGATCTACTTCCATTTGACAGAGAAAGAAGAAAACAGTCACAGCATATTGGAGTCTGAAAGAAAAAGTATTCCCACTATTCAAACATAACTTAAGACACTAATGCACATTAAGATGCAAACAGGCAGAAGGTAATGCTCAGAAGGTCTGAAATTATAACAGTAATAGTAAAACAATATTTGCAGTTAAGGTATGCACTGTAAAAACCATTTAACATTTCAATGCAAAAGATATTTTGCAATTAGCTTTTACAATTTGTTTAATTCTTTTTCTTCAGTAATATTTTTGCACACCAGCCCAACTCATCACCCACAAAATCCCAGATCAAACAATACAAGTACCTTCACTGGCCTGTTAATGACAAATTGTGCTCACCGTTTGAGGTCATCCTTTGCTGTGTCTAGATGGAGACTTAACAGATGAAATTCAGCCCCACAACACAGCAATACAAACGCATCTATAAAATAAAACTGTGCAAAGCGTACAGCCTTGTGGAACTTTTCTTTACCCTGAAATGCAAAGAAATCTATTAAGAATTGATTCAAAGACAATGAATATCTTTTTGTTTGAGATTCCTGATGTTAAGGCATAGTCTACCTGTTATCCTGATCATAGGCCAGGAGGTTAACCTACAATGTACTTGCCCCTCCTATTCTGAACATCTATTAATCTAAAAATAGTTTTTATTCTACTTAAATTAGTTGAAATAGAATATATAGGCCAGACAATAAAACCAAAATTTCCAGACATGGCCACCAATTTTTTTCTACCAAAGTTGATTTTTTTTCTTTTTATAAATTACCATGAGGAAAAAACCCTGATTTGAAGTCAATGAAGATCAATCACTCAGAACAGAAGCAGGAGTTGTTTAGCCTGGAGGCTCAGGGGTGACCTTATCACTCTCTGCAACTACCTGAAAGAAGTGGCAGCCAGGTGGGGGTCAGCTTATTCTCCCAGGTAACAAGGGACAGGATGAGAGGACATCATAGTCTTAAATTGTGCCAGGGGAGGTTTAGGTTGGACATTAGGAGGAATTCCTTCACAGAAAGGGTGATTAGAGATTGGAATAGACTGTCCAGGGAGGTGGTGGATTCACCATCCCTGGAGGTTTTCAAGATGAGACTGTGGCACTTAGTGCCATGGTCTAGTTGACATGGTGGTGTTTGGTCACAGGTTGGACTTGATCTCAGAGATCTTTTCCAACCTAATTGATTCTGTGATTATATCAGTTGGACACCCCACTCAGTAGCTTTAAAAATTAGGCTGTATGTTCCTTCTAAAGAGCTGTTAAAATGGAAGTAGATGAAAGTGCAAAAGAGTGTCCTCTGTGTCCAAACCAATGGAAGTTTCTAATTACCAGAATTAGGGCAGGTTCCTTATTGCAGACTGACCAGACTCTTAAAGTTCTGTCTTCTGATGCAGAAACTAACCACTTCTTGTCATGACTCCAGCCAACAGAGTTAACTGCACTATCATGACCTAATAAAAATAATAATGGAAATATCATAAAGCTCATTTCTTGCATTTATACATTTCTCCAGAGTAAACTGTATTGTTTTCATGCAATTATGCACAATATTAAAATACATTTTAAGTTCAGGCTTCAAATGACTGGATTAAAACTGGTAACAGTAAACCAGATAATGTATTTTTCTTCCACAAAAAACCCCACAGAAAATGTCTCTCATTACTAATCAGTGATAATTCTCTCTTTAATTTTTCAAAGTTATTGGAAGAACATTTTCAAGAAATATCCTTGAAATAAAAGTTAAGCAAAAAGATACAGTGTTTCTCAAAAAGAAAATCTGAGTATTATAATTAAATTTTATATTAAACATGATCTGGAAACCACTTAAGACCTTGCAAACAGTTGAAATACTTTATTTTATTTATAAGGCTTTTACTACTGACCTGTTTTTGTAACAACACAGTGAACACACTATTACAATGGCTTCTGCAGGACTGTCTCACTCTATTAAAAAATGTAACTGCCTGTTTAAAAATCATAGTTTAAAGTATTATAATGTCCATTTAATATATTTTTTGATATTAACTTTTGTATTTTTGCATTTAGGATCTACCAAAAACAGGCTTTCCCAGTTTGGTGTGACACAGTTAAAAACAAGATTGTAAACTTACAAAGAAAGAACTTCAAAAGCCAGAAACATTATCCAAAAGCTAAAATTATTAATTTGATCTCAGATTATATTGATGTTGATCAAAAAGGTCAAAAAAGAACATGTCAATCAAATCTAACAACCTTTGACCCATATTATTCTAATTTGTTAGACAAAGTCTGATGAATTTCATATAGCCTTAAAACATTCAAAGTTCTTATGCTGCCCTCTTGTGCACATTTTCTCTTTAGTCAACTGACGTTTTATATAAATAAAAATAGATTTCTTTAAATCACAGGAAGGCCATCCAATTTATCTCAGCATTTGAGATCTTCCATGATTACCTTTTCTTTTTCATAGAATCATCAAGGTTGGAAGAGACCTTTAAGATCATCAAGTGTAACCATTAACCTGTCACTGCTGTAATCCCTAAACCATATCCTCCAGTGTCAGATCCAGATGCCTCTTTTACACTTCCAGGGATGATGACTTCACCACCTCCCTGGGCAACATTTCAGTGCCTGAACACCCTAACAGGGAAAACATTTTTTCTAACATCTAATTTAATGTTACAGTTTATAATTTCCAAAGAGATGGATTCAAGGCTAGTATCAATACTGGTTTTATAGACTTATGTCTATAAAAAGGTGTATAAATGAGATATTTTAATTCCCAGTTACCAAATGCCTGTAGAATTTTCACCAGAAAACTGCATGGGTAGTGGAAAATTACGTATGTAAGTACTATACTTATTTTATTCTCAACACAAAGATTTATTTGGAGGCTTTGGTTTTTCTGAAACCATTTGGAAGCCTTGAATTATCTGCATTAAAGAAAAAGAGAAAAAAATTCTAACACAACAAACAACAACAATGAAAAAACCCCAACAAAATAAAAAATTCAAACAAAACAAAGCAAAACCACCACACACAAAAAAAATATGCAATATACAGAATATACATAACAGTTTTCCAAAGTGGTAAGGAACATGAGAAACTTGAGGAAAATCTGAGGTTTGGAAAATTGGAAGAGCCACAAGAAAAGCTTAAGAATCTCTGCACTCCAGGCCCCCCAGTCCCAAAGCACAGGGAAGGAGATGCCAGCTGGCTTGCAAGAGTCCAGTAAGTTTCAAAACAGGCATTACTCAGGGTTCCCTGCTCCTGAAGCACATTAAGGACAGCAGCTGGTTTGGTAAAGATTTCAAAAAGGCTATGCTGACTCTAACTCTTCACAGCTGGTCAACCTTACCTGCACTTCACTACAGGACACAGACACCTGAGGAGCCATCACCAAAGAGGAATGTAAAACTACTTAAAATCAATACTACATACTTAAAACTGTAACTGAGCAGGAAAAAAACCTTAGGCTTATAGCAAAATTTCTGTAGTTATACCACTCCTCTCTGATGGTGTATTATAGCAACATGATTTTGGATAAGCAGCTATATTCAGATGTTAATGCTGCCTTGAATTGAAATTTTTCAAGAGAGCAGATACCATTGCCATTTCTTGAAAAAAAAAAAGGCTTTACATTACCATTGATTGCAGCTCTGAATAAGAATAATGTATCATGGTTTTTAATGAAAACACATGTATTATGACGCTCCTAAAATAAGGGCATCAAAAGGGGAAAGTAAATAGATGGTTGCATGATCATCTGAACTGCACAGAAGAACTACAGGCACAGGTTGCACTCTTATGCTACCTAAAGAGCCTGAAGTAGAATGTTGTTTATATTGCTTTTCAGACTGCACATCATAGAAGAAAAGACATAATTAAAGATATCAATGAAATAAATCAGATAGTAGTGCAAAGCCTAAGAAAACTAATAGAACAAAGCCTCTGTCAGAAGAACAATTAAGTAAAAAATCATTTTTTTTTAAGCAAGACAAAGAACTAGTACTTGACATCTGAATTTCTGGCACCAGAAAAATGTTCTCTGTAGTAACATGAAGTTTAATGCAGGTTATTTTACTTTTGTCAGCACAACAAATTGGCTTGAATTTGCAGAGTACTGCAGTATTTTAGGGACTTCTAACATCCTATAAAATAATCATATTTAATTTTATTTTATGGAAAGACAAAGTCTTTTGTCAATAATGTGTCAAAACCTAAACACTGCTTCCTTCATGATTTACAGAGTAACATGAACTAAGGTTTTCTTTCAAATTTAGAAACCCCTCAATTCTAATCTTTTTTTTATCTACTTTCAAATGTCTACTCAGATTAATATATTTTTCTTATTAAAGTCTATGTTTTCTGTTATTTCCAGCACTGAACTAGTCCTTAGATATTAATTAGTATGCAGCAAGTATATGGAGGTGTACATGCAATGAAACCAATGAAATTAGCATCTTCCCCTGAGATGCAACAAAAATAAAACCCAGCTTTTACCGGTCCAAAATCAATGAAGCCTGCATAAAAACAAACTCCAGTGACAAAAATATCCAAAAAAGATTATTTAACAGAACTGAAATGTCACTTTCTGCATCATATAATCTCTACCTTCAAGTAAAAACAGCCTGTCTAAAAGCTTAATAGCATTTCACACAGAGGGGAGCTGGATCTGTGATGCAGCAAACAAACTGCAAAGAGCTACAGAAGACAGAATACATAGTGCAAAATAACTTAATTCACAAATTATAGATAATTTATAGACTCACAGAATAATTTTCCAATGCAACAAGTACTGTATCATTATTTTTAAAGATGCTTTTAACAAGTAAGGGAAAGAAATACAGAATTCTGACCTGTTTTGGTTAATTGCATTTTTCAGAAATCCTGGTCTGCTAAAACAATGTTAAATATATTCCATCTATATGAAATCCTTTTGTACAAATTACTGCTTTTGTTCCAGTACTACCGACATAAAAAAATTTGTCAATAAAACCTCAAAACACAATCCCTGCCTGCATTTTATCTGCTTTGCATTATGAATTTGTTCAAATCAGTCAGTGAACCATGAAGAAAAATATTTTTTAAAGAATATGAACTTGCTATTGTGGAAGAAAAACACCTTATTAATCTGCCACAAAGAATATTTTAATCAATTTCCTCACACAAAAAGGAGAATATCAGTAATTCTGCCTCCTTAAGTTATCACAATGCCACAGCTTCTTCCACTAAATGCAATGAAAATTGCTCAAAAAGAAAACCAGTTTTCAGAAATCAGTTGTCAGTTATTTACTTAGGAATAATTTTCTAAAATAACTTAAAATAGTCTATTTTTAAAACTTGTTAGGGTCTGCTAGTAAAAGACAGTAATCTCCCATTATGAAGTTTCACAGAAAATTCCTTTAGTGGGATTAATTTAGTCTTAACATTTACTGTTATTACAAATTTAACAGATAGTTCTTGTAGAAATTTAGAAATAATTTAGTTTTTAAGACTCTTTTAAAATGCTAAGTAATGCAAGTGTTTGCACAAGCATACACTTTTGCAGATATGGATTTCTCCACAGGAACAATCCCTTTGTTTTAAATAGTTGTTCTTGACAAGTTTGGAGCTGCAAACCAAACACATCCTTGGCCAACTCATCCTAGTCAACTTTTCACCTAATAAACCATTACAATATACTATTGCAATGAATAGTATTGCAATATTCAGAATCCACTCTCCCTACAAGGAGATGATTCAGAATCCCCTCTCCCTTGTTCTTCTCAAGATGATATAAGTGGAGTCTTTTAGTTACTGCACCATTTTACATTAAACTCAAACATGTACTATTTCTTTAATAATACCATTAATAAATTTACCTGTAAAAACATTATACATATCGGTGAGATTGGAACTGAGTATCCGTACAGTGCTGTCAGCCAGGCCACAAGCCAACATCTTTCCATCCCCTATGAAGAAGAGTGTCTAATGATTCACATTTGAAAGCAATGAGGCCCTGATATGCTATTTCTTTTAACCATGAAAATCACGTCACTACAACAAAACACAAACCAGACATTCATTTCATATGTTTAATGCTTTTCTTTGCTAAAAAACACCTTTCCATTTTAAGTGCACATAACTTTCCTAGAAATAAGCTCTCTGAAACCAATTTCTCTCAGGAGCCTTAAATAGTAATTTCTTCCCATTCTCTAGGAAACAGAGAGGTGGATGGAATATGTTGTAGAAAGTTACTGATTGTATGTAATTGCTTTAATTTCTTGGGGATGAAAGTTGTTCTTGTCCTCAAAATATTTATAAAGATATCAATTTTTAAATACTTTGAAAATACTATGGGTTTAAGGGTGCACATTGACAGAATTATACACTTGGTAAAGTGCTTGCTTGCTAATCTAAGAAGTGGTTTCTGCTTATGCATGTATACACTGGAACTGACTAAACCTATCACAGGAGTCATTTTCTCCAAAGCAGTTAAGAAAAATGCCCCTCTTTGGGTTACACAGAAGAATTTCTTTTTTCTGTATTTCAACATATAAAAACTGGATTATATTTATATAAGAAATAGGAGTATTCTCATTCTTTTGAAACAGAACTTCAGTTTTCAAAACACCCTAACAACAGTAAGTAAATGCCTCAGAAAATAAATTCCTTAGTAAAGGAGTACTAATATTCAGGTTGTAGTGGGAAAGTCATAGAACAAATTCAAAAGGAAACAAGACGTGAAGTCATAAATAGAATCCTTTTGCATACATGTTAATAGTTTGCATGATCAAACAGTACATGGTATTGCCAGAAAGTTTTCGGGGAATGTATCTAGTAAATCCATAGTTTTTATACACTATGCCACACCAATTTTGTTTTTCTGACTGCACACAGACACAACTGCACATTTTATAAAGCCTGTACTTACCAGAATGCTGAACACAAAAAATTGGGGTTGGTTTAGAAGTAACAGATACCTCTTTCTTATAGTTGACTGGAGGATAACTTTCCGATGGATATTCTTTATTTTGACTTCAAAGAAGATAAAAAGAGAGAGGGGAAAAAGATATCTAAACCCAGTACATTTTCATTTCAGTTATGAAATAAATGTGCTTTGGGAGCTATTCTAAACATCTTTATATAAATATTTCCTGGAATAATTATGTTACATCCATGATAACATCCAAATGAGTTTTAAATTGCCATACTTAAATTACTCCTATGACTAACTGTTGCAAATTCATTAGACCAAGAATTAACAGACTTGTATAAAAAAATCAAGTTTCTTAAGTTGCGCAGCTATCTAAAAAAAGAATTTAAAGAATGCAAACTCTGCCTTGTTGTGACAAAAAACAATATGCAAATTTAACTAAAAATACCCCCACCAAAACTTAAAATACTAAGTAGCTTAACCTATCATAAAACAGGGCAAACCAAAGTTGAAATTATCTGTAGTGCTCATGTAAAGGCTTACCTATGTGCGCAATGATTACAAAAACTTAGTCTTGAGCTATTACGTGGGGGCTTTTTAACACTTAAACAGATCTTTTTAAAATGAGAAACATTATGGCATTAATCATTCTTTATTTTTATGCTTGTACTTCTTAGAACAAGGACTCTATATAACAGTAAAGAGAAAAAAAAAGTGTGCAACATGCCCATTTAACACTCCACACCAATTAGCATGAAAGTACCATCTCTAGAAAAAAACATTTATTTTTTGTGTCCACAGTGATGAAGATTGCACTGGTCAATTTGTACCATTACGTATACTCTGTTTAAATCCATTAGAGTTACCCTGTATTAGCTTAAGATAAGATGACTTTAGGGGCGAATGAAGCACATGATCTGAAATCACTAAGTCTCACTGTGCCACATTGAGTTCTTTTTCTCACTAAAGCTGCAGCTTAAGAACATGTTAGGACTTTCTTCCAACCATATGTAGACCCTGTTCTTCTTTCTACTGACAAAAATCTATGAAAAGAGGTATGTATATTTTCTTTTATATAAAACAAATTTAATTAGTAGTCTCCCAACCATTTGCTGCAGTCATTTTATAACAAATTTACAAAGCCTTTTAGTTCCAGTGCTGACCATAACTAAAGGTTCCAATGAGAGAAGTAGCTACAAACCATATTTTAAATGGAACTGTAATTACCCACATTTCAATTTGTTCCTCCTCTAATGGAGTTGCTAGGTTACCTACCATTTACAATTGGTCTTCCACTTTGATACATTCTTTTTTTTCAGGTTATTATTTGGAGAAAACATGGTCATTCTACAAGAAAGAAAACAAACTGTCCTATATGAAACATTAAATGTCACATGAGAGAAATAGTTTATTTCAAACAAAAGCAATCCTACTTCCTTCTTACTATTTATCCCTACTGGTAATGACAGTAGGTAAGAGACTGTACACATTGGTGACAAGATAAATTTATAATGATCTAATGCTTGAGTTTGCACTTTGATTTCTGTGAGTTATTTGTTTAATAATACATTCTGAAAGCCAAAATCCATTCAAATACAGTTCTCAGACAATTCTTTCTGCAAGCTGAAGAAACAAGAGTTTAATCAGACATAAGAGTCAGGATGCTTGATAGAGATTTCAAATGGAAGTCAAACAATGCTGTGAAAATTTTGATTTGCAATATATTTTTTACATTATTTTGTTTTATAACCTCTTCAGTGTTTTTCAAGGGTGATTAATTTCACAGTCATGAGACTACATGGATCTATTAAGTGGCAAAATATCATGCACCAATAAAACTGGCAGAATAGTAATACATCTACTCACCGTGGTGCTTCTGTATAGCCTGATGACTTAATTTTATTATGGAAAACCAATGGCTGATCTTTCACTCTGCTTTTCAACCCTATAGTAAAATAATTTAATTTACATTAAAATGAGGTTTTAACATAATGTTTTTAGAGTTAAGGTAGACAGTTAGGCTAGCACAGAAGAAACAGTTGAGGTAAATAGTTGAGGTTTCCTTATGTTACAAAGCACATTTATGACCACTCACTTTAAAATAATAATTACCAAGAAAAGGAAATAAATATGAAATGTTACATTCTATAACATCCCTCCTCCAGTAACATAAATAAGTAGGAACTTCTTTAAACTTTGAAGTAGCAAGAATATTGTTCTGAATTACCTTTTTCATCATTCATTCACAAATGTGTTTTCTAGCTGCCTATTTTGTGCTTAGACTTAGAAGCCTGAAGAGCAGCCTTCAGCTCCAAACTGAATATTAGTATTTCATATCAGCAGAAATAAACTAAAAAAATAAATATTGTGAAGGGAGAAATCTTGATGACATTCCCAGAGAAAAACTTCAGGTGTACAGGAAATGACCTCATAGACACATCTACCTATGCTGAGGACAGAAGTCCCTTCAACTCCTACTAGCTATCCTTTCTCTTTATGTTGCAATGAGGCAGAAAAAAGTCCTTCTTGAGAAGTTCCCAGTACCACTTGCCTTAAGAGACCATAGGATTTCTTTACAGCACCTTATCTATCTGATCATGAGATGTCAACAAAGGTAGCACAGGTGTTAGTGCTGGGTGTCCAAAGCAGCCTGTAACTCTAGCTAAAACACTGTAGATGCATTACCAGAATATCATAAACCACTACAGATAAAACCTTTGACATTGTAACAGGTACAACAAGTGCAAGCAATATAGTAAAAATAGATTATTTCTAATTGTCTACAGCTACCAGCATTTTTACATATTTCCTAAAGAAATGGTGATGAAAACATTATTTTGTAGGTATTTTTTTGGACTTTGCTTTACTGTTTATAACCAAAAAGAGCTACAAGTGCTTCAACAGTAACTGGAAGTCAGATCTTCTATTTTTCAAACAGCAGGACATTGACACAAAAGTCAACTTCCTAAACTTGCAGATAATGACAAAAGACTATTCAGGACAGTAAAATTAACCAAAACAGGTAACAAAAGTTAAGCAAGAAATAACAAATTATGCAGAAAAATATACTGCCTGCTAAGGAAAAAGAATAACTTATGGAAATGTAAACATTCTACACTTCTTAAAATCCACAGAAAGTTCTCAGAGAATTGTTTTTGGAAGAAGAAAAATACATATTAACATAATTTTCAACTCCAAATACATATATAGGCTATGAAATATTACTAGAAGTATAAAATTATTCCCACTAAAATTAAAATATAATGCAATATATATTTCAAACAGAAATCAATATATTGATTGTATTAGGCACAAGCTAGTTGGAAGTCAGTTACTGTCATTAAAAATATAACTTTATGAATTAATTTCAAAACTGGTTTATACTTACCAAGTGTTTTACTAGAAGGTTCTTCCATATTTTTCTTTAAACCTTTACACAGTGGAGAATTTTTCAATAGTGAACACCTAAATTATAAAACCAAGCACAAAAAAATTGGTCAATGCAATGGGTGAAAGTATCAGATTAGGAAAAGATTTCAAAATTCCTTTTTAGATATTTGCCTGCATGTGTGCATATACATGTGTGATAGCAATGAGATTTTAATAAAACCAAATAAGGCTTGATGGGCTAATTAATAGCTCAGATACCCAGCAGCACAGACAAGCCTTGGCCCTGACTAGATTCATCCATCAGAGCCCATTTTTGTGAATATTAACTGATGATTTTAATATAAACACTGAAATATGCACTTCAGTGTATATTGCAGATTTTTTGTCCTCTTCAAGGCATCAGTATTTTCTCATAAATCACAGGGATATAAAGGAGAGGAAAGTAATAGCCAGCAGAGATATGCCAAGGGGAAGCGAATTCATGCTTGATCAACTTGATAAACTTTTATGATAAAATTAGTGGCTTGGTAGATGAGGGGAGAGCAGTGGATATTGTCTACCGTAAGATCCTCAGAGAGAAGCTAATGAAGTATGGGCTGGATGAGCCCACAGTGAAGTGGATAGAAAACCAGATGAATAACCAGGCCGAGACAGTGATGATCAGTGGCTCAAAGTTTCGTTGGAAGACAGTAACTAATGAAGTACTGTGTGGATCAATACTGGGCCCAATTCCATTCAACATCTGCACTAGTAACCTGTATGAAGGAGCAGAGTGTACCTTCACCGTGTTTGCTGATGACACAAAATCAAGAAGAGTGTCTAAAAGAGCAGAATGTTGTGCTGCCATCCAGAGAGACATCCATTTATGGAGAAATGGGCTGACAGCAACCTCGTGAAGTTCAACAAGGTGAAATGCAGTCTGCACCAGAGGACAACGCCATGCACCAGTACATGGCTGTCAGGCAGACTCTAGAGCCAGGCTCTGCACCCAGTGCCCAGTCACAGGACAAAAGGCAATGTGTGAAAACTGAAACATGGGAGGTTCTGGCTGAACACCAGGAAACACTTCTTTACTGTGAAGGTGACTCAGCAGTGGCACAGGTTACCCAGAGAGGTTGTAGTGTCTCCCTCCCTGGAGATACTCAAAAGTGTTTTGGATGTGATGCTGGGCAACTGACTCCAAGTGGCTCTGCTTGAGCAGGGCAGTTGGACAAGATAACCTGCACAGGTGCCTTGCAACCTCAACCATTCTGTAATCCTGTGATTTCTCTCCCTCTTATAAGTAGTAAAAAGAAGTAAAATAAAACCATGTCAACAGCAGTGTACAAAACCAAGTGATTCACTTCAGTGCCAGATAAACAAATGCATAACACGACACAGAGAAAAAACATTTAATTATTCTGTACCTGGCAATAACCGATAGACTGTTCTCATTTCCATGTGGGAGAAAATCACTGTGCTGAGTTCTCACCAATGCAGCAAGGTTAACTTCCAATACAGCAACCATATCTTCAAACATTGAGGTGATCAAGCATAAAACCTGCAGCAATTATACCATAAAATAACCATTTATTTTATAATTTAAGCTCCAATTATAAAGAATTTATAATGGAAAACAAAATCATTTTCTGTAATTTGTGAAAAATAGTCAAAAATGGGTTCAGCCTTGAAGAAAATTAAGCAGTAAAGAGTGGTTAATGTCGTCCTTCAAAAATATGCTTATGCTGCTTGAATAAATGTCTTAACAGACATGGATACCTAGCAGTCACAAAAATGCCAATACCTTCTACAATAGAGATATTTCTGCAGGAAGAGAGGTGAGAAAAGAAGTATACATGGAAGAAAGATTGGCTTCAGCAATGTGCTGAGAACATACTAAAAGCTGAATTTAAAACAAAATCTCTAAAGCAAAACACTGCTATGTTAAATATGTAGAAAGGTCTAGATTGAGCGGTAGGAAAACTGCAACATCAAAAATGGAATGTACAGACAAGAATGCTTTCCATTTCCCTGAAATCACTTCCAGTGACTTTCCACAGAAATTTTCTCACAACTCAAATAGTTTTCACGGACTTCTTGGAATGTTTCAGAAGTAGTTCATCCTAACATTTGTTTCAGAAATAAGGTATCACAATGTGTTTATCTTTCTTCCCATAAGAGATTGGTTCTGCTTCCCCAGTGGTGATTCTTGACATTCAAGGTACACACTGAAACTTTTCCTTATTAATTACTATAGACTGTATACAAGTTGTGAGAGCTTTAAAGCTTCTCAGCTACTTAAACTAGTGGATTCCATACAGAAGAATCAATCCACTCCAAAGAAATTACTATGTAACTCACATCAACACAAACAAATGTATACATTAATCTGTAAACTAAATGCGTAACTAATACTTATTGAAAATAACTTGAAGTGTAAACACTCAGTGTTTCAATGTTCAATGTTTAGTGTGTACTCACCTTTCCATTAACTGCCTTCCTTGTTAATGCACATGATCTGGCAAAACGAATGCTGAGGTCACTGTAATCTTTATCAAAAAGAACATTGTGCTATGAAATTATAATTACATTTCAGAAGAAAAAACTATCATCTCTAAGGCAGGAAAAAATACTCATACTAATTTGACATGACTGTAATCCACTGTCTTCAGTGTATATCCTTCTAGCTTACCCCCACGTTATAAAGCAGGGCTAGAATAACATCTTTGTATTTAACACTCATGAACTACAAAATCAAATAAAAATTCATTGCTAGACACTACCCAAATTTAGTGCCAACACATCTTACGAAAGTCATCAGGGCCAGGAAGACATGAAACATTAATTAGAAAAAAAACAACATAAAACCCACTTGGTTTCTCTTGTATTCTGCTATTTCACAAACTAATTCTTATACTGTTATACAGACTTGTTATTAACAGATAACAAATTAAAGCAATCACATATAGGGTAGTCATATAACTTATAAACATACCTTTGTAAGATAAAAAAGCTTCTAATTCAAAGTTTTCCAAATTAATTATTAACAAGCCAGTAGAGGTTCCTATCCAAAAATAGCTAGTATTTAGGGCAGAATACCTATTAAAAAGAAGGAGAAAAATATGTCTGAGAATGATAAAGAAGCTTTTCTTATTACCATACAACACACAGCAATTGAGGTTTTTTAATACTTGTTGTCCAGTCCCAGTACAATAATTATAAACCATACAAACAAGCAAAAAATTTACAGCATTTAAAAAAAAATTTTATCTCAAAGTAAAAAGTTTCAATCAAAGTTGGTGAAGTTTTGAAAACTAACAGCAGAACACAATTGTTGATTTTATGTAAGTCCATATGACAAGTCTAAACAGCACAGGAAATACTTTTCTTCCAAAATTACTGTGGTTTGTAAGAGTTGGGAGATGCTGTAAAAGCACTGGATATATAAAGAGTAAATTCAAACAAAGAGGCAAATCCACATATAGTCTTAACTTTTACCACATCTAATATGAACACTCAAAGAGCAGTGAAATTCAAGGTACGTTTGTACACAATTAAAGTTCAAGAGAAAAGCCAGAACAAACTAAGGGGGAAAAACCTAGGCGAGCCTGGAATGTCTGTCTCAGCCTGTACTTAGTGGCTGCAGTACTGCAGTTAGGTAATGAAATCCAGCTCTTGTAAGCACCACAGAGTAAACCAACTGGTTACAATTTCAGTCAACACCCTCACAGAAGAAAAATGTTATTTTGCAAAAGATGATTATAATAAAATAACAGTTGTCATTCTCAAAAACCTAAAAATGTTTGGATGCCACAGTAAATAAACATTGACATCAACATTTTAATAAATTTTCATGCTAGGCGTGAGTAGACTTCTCAGTTTGATTTGTAAAGTTAGACCACAAGAGTTGAAGCAAGGATATGGAAAATTATGAAGCTGAAACTTGGTATGAGAAGACTCATGACAGTGGCTGAATAAATTTTTTTCTTAAAATAAAATACAACAACAAAAACACACACAAAAAAAAAACACCAACCAAGAAAAAAAACCTAAACATATACAGTAAAATACTCTAAGAAGCAGACTGTAATAGATATTTTAAATTCTGTTTTGTGATACTTTTACATGACATGAATAGTTTTATTTGCATTTTGTACCACATTCTTCATTGCAATAACAGCCTGATTTAATTTGCAAATTCTTTGAATTATTTATCAAGAGGTGTTACTTATGAAGTTATTGTGAAAAATATCATGTGATATATATAGGAAGTTTATCTCACACCCACTTTACAAGAATAAAATGACACTCATTGTGATGAAATTATTCAATGTCAGAAAGTTTAGGGATGTGTTAGACCCATAACATTTTGGACATCAGTGCTGCAAAGAAACATTTCCTTGTGGCATTTCATTGCAGGCAGGAAATGTGGTAAAGCAGGGGTTACTCAATTGTTCAGGTAAGTCTGAACCACCTGCTAAAATCAACACACAGCATTTAAAAATTAAATCCAAAAATATTTATAAGTACAAAACTCTCGAACCAAATGATAATGAAATTGGATTAATAATAAGAATTTAATGGTCACAGTCATTTATATGCAGAATAAAACCTCCAGCTGTGGTGTGAGAGCTGAAAGAACAAATAGTCCTTAGACAAGGCAACAACAGGTAGGTACTGGAAAGTGATGTTATCTCAATTCTTAAAATTATATCAACTAACCTATTACTGTGAATCCATTTCAGGCAACCATGCCCAAACAGCAGATTGAAAAAGAAACTAGATTGAATTTCAGAAAAAAGTTCAAAAGCAAATTTAAAAAATGTTACACAAAACACGCCTTATACAAGGTATAAACTATTTTATCTAGAAGTGTAGAAATAACTTGTTCATGGGCTATAATTTGCTATCCAAGAAGGGAACTTGATAGTGCCTGACCATAGAGGATCAGAATAAAAAAAACATACTAAAAGGTAGTAACTGTACATGAAAAGTGGGTAGTACAGAGTAGAAGCAAAATGGAATGAGTCAGTTCCTGGAACAACTTAACTAGGCACATGGTGGATTCTTTATCACCAGAAAACCAGTCATATTTAAAGATGTGCTGTAGTTCAAATAATACCCACAGTTCTGATGAAGACAACATTTTTATACTTCAAGAGTGGCATTATACAACTAATAAGACTAACTAACTAACTAACTAACTTCTCCCCTATGAAGACAGGCTGAGGAGGTTGGGGCTGTTCAGCCTGGAGAAGGTTGCGTGGAGACCTTATAGCAACTTTTCAGTATCTGAAGGGGCTACAGGGGAGCTGGAGAGGGACTCTATATTAGGAACTGCAATGGTAGGACAAGGGGTAATGGGTTCAAATTGAAGGAGGGGAAGTTTAGATTAGATACTAGGAAAATGTTTTTTACTGTGAGGGTGGCGAGACACTGGCACAGGTTGCCCAGGGAACTAGTAGATGCCCCAGACCTGGCTGTATTCAAAGCCAGGTTGGATGGGGCCTTGAGCAACCTGGTCTGGTGGGGAGGTGTCCCTGCCCATGGCAGGGGGTTGGGACTAGATGATCTGTAAGGTTCATTCCAACCCCTCAAATTCTATGATTCTATACCTATAATAATTAATCTTTTGGCCTTAAAGTACTGACATTCCGTTAAAGTTTGCCTGAGGTGTGCATCTTAAAAACCAGCACTTCCTTCCTCTCAATGCTAGTCCTTCTTAAAATGCAAGCATCATGAAAATAACTGTTAATAATTACTTGCATTTGACATAAAGACAAACAAAATTATCCAGGACTGCTGGATATTTTGTTTTTCCTCTGTTTGTCAAATGTTGTTTATATATCTAACCAGAGAGTAATCAGATACACTGTATAACCCACCATAGGAGAAAGTGTTATACAAGAATTTCTTAAAACATGATGTGGGCAAGAATTTTACACAAATGACAGTTAAAAAACCCAACAAAACAAAATTCTTCTATGAGACAGTTCTCGTGGCAGTACTCTGAACTGAGACCCAGGTTCCTGATAATACGTTTAAGCTTCTCTTCAGGAAAAAAATGCAATGTAAGAATTATTTTTACCTGGCCAAGCAATCGCAAGGGAAGGAGTAAGAAATCATGCTCTGAAATGTCTGTCTATGACAGAATTTTGGCTGGAGCAGGTTGTGTAGTTCAAAAACTGCTTACATTTGGAAGGCAAACTGATGGGCACAAAGTGGGTGCATCAGACTTATTTCTTCAGAAAGCAAATTCAAAATAAATTTGGCTTCTGAATTACTTTTTAACTCCTCTTTCCTGATCACCTGGGATCAATAGATGCTAAAATAGATATTCCCAATGACATTTTTATAAAATGATTTCTCAGAATATAAACCAGTTCTATCTTTGTATCAGTTTGTGTATATTATCTGCTTAAGAGTAGGCCACCAAAACATGCACATCACTAAAATATTCTTTGATTTTCCTATTGCATCTTTAAAAAAAATATTAAGTTGCATTAAAAATAATCCAAGAACCAACAGGAACTCCTAGGAATAGATCCAAGCCAAATACTAGGTGGTATTTTACAGGACTTACATGTTTTCTTCATTATGGAAACATACTGAAAAGTCACAATGTTCAATTAAGAGGACAGGCAATGATGTTTCCACTGATCCTTCTGGTGCCATGTTGTCAGTTTTACGAAGTTTGGAAGTATTTTGCCCTTCACCTAAGAAAGACAATCAACAATACTAGGTATCAACAGAGCAATGAAATAAAGGAAACAGGATTTAAGAGAGAATTGGAATCAGTTAAATAGTATAAACTAAGACCACACTCAAAAACCTTCTATTTCAAAAGATGGATATATCCTAAGAGTCAGACCTCTTGAAATAGCTTTCCTTATTATTATGGGTTTTTTTCCAAATGTCTTCTTTCAAACATCTAGAGATAAAATCCAAAGAGCCTATTTATGGACTGAAAAAGAGTTTGCAGAACTTAGGTGTGTTTATTGCAAAAAGTGACACTGACATCCAACAATCCTTAAATATGCTGGGTACCTTTCCTTAGCCTGAATATTCCCTTGATACTGAAGTTACAACATAATCCAAAAATAAAATGAAAATTTACCTCAGTTTCATCTTCCCAAGGAGTCTCCAATCCAATATGCATGTGCAATTCACATTTAAAAACTATTAGCATCTAATTCAGCATTAGGCACAGACATTACATCACTCTTTAAAACACGAAAGTGACATCCATATATTTTAAATAATAACAAGAAATGTAGCAGTCTTTCTCCTTAGGTTAGGACTTTGGGATTATTGAAGCTGGGCCGCTAGGTAACTGGTCATTGAGCCAGAAAAAGAGCAAGCAAGGGAAACTAGATCTCCCTTTCCCTGAGAAAAATCTCTCTTGCTTGCCTTAGAAGGACCTCAACCCACTTCAACTGGTGTGCAGGTAGTCTGAATGCCTGATCCTCAGGGATGCAGGGAGGATCCATGGATCCTCAAGAGATCAAATGCCTAAGATGTGTAAACTGGTTTGATAGTTCTCTTGTTCTGCCTTGGGGTCACTCCAATATGGAATTAAATAAACAAATATATAAATAAAAATGGCAAAAATAAAGAGATTCCTAGAAGTTTCAGACTTAACTGAGAAATGGCACTCCATTTAGACAAGGGATTAATTTTTAGGCACAGGTTCTGTTCTCACTGAAGCCTTAGGCAATGACTTCAATCAAAAACAAATACTTAATAGCTCACAACAGGGAATGTTTTATAAGCAAATTAATTTCCCAAGATTTTATTACAGACATACGTGCATAATTCTTTCCACATAAGCCAATACCCCACTGCCTATCAACTTCAGTAAGAATTCATGCCACAGTCTGACTCGTAACTCTATCACGTAAAAGAAATTCCCATAGTGTAAAAAGGACACATATAGTGTGTCCTTTTTAAAATAACAACTACAATATACCATAAACAGCAGACTAGAAGCACTGCACTACCTAGTTCCTTTCCAGATTTCCACAACTTATTACAGAATTTCGCTTGCTCTTTCTTTAAGTTGATATGTGTTATGCAACGATAATTATGATCACTGATGAGACTGAAGATCCATAGCTGCAAGAAAAAGAGAAAGCAATTGGAATAACCTTTTGGCACTAGATATAAAGCTCACATGAATACAAGCTAAAGATCCATAAAGTAACTCATGAACTTTTGTATCTTGCATCTCACCTTGAACAAGAACTTAAATTATATGCATTGCTAAGATTATTAAAGAATTTATTCAATATTATCAAGAGCGGCAATTATCAATTTGAACTGCACACCTAATTTCCACATGTTTACATCTTTGAAAAAAACTCCTCATAGACTATTTCGCACAATGAAAAATCACGGGTAACCTCCGTGTCATTGCTCACTGGGTCATGTAGTTAAATTTTATTTACACCTTTCTCTTCTTAGACGCCACTATAGTTAAGCCTTTGGTTTTCTTCACAATTCACCAAAGAGTAACACTGAATGAAAACATCTGGAAAATCTCTTATAAACATGTCCTTGATGTTAAGGAAGAGGTGAAATGCATATTTTTCTTTTAAGTGTACTCTTTTTACAAAATCACTGATGGTGCTCTTAAAAACTTTTCTGGTTTTGAGGAAGAAGTTTGATCTGTAATAGAGGTCCTATATACCATTTATGATTTATGCTCAAAGCACTGAATTATGCTTACTAAAATCACTATTGTAATGGTTCAAAACTCATATGCAGCTCGTGAAGTTTTTTTATAGACAGAAACATTAATAACAGTTGACTGTTTTGACATAGAGACTAAGTTTAATGGGTAATTTTTACCTGTCCCTCACCACATCCAGTGATAATCTGTTTGTTTTCTTCATCAACTAGCAGACTTAGCAAAGGAAATGCTGCTTCAAAAAAACAAAAATAAAAGAATTCCCAGAGTAAACACATATCAGATATTTAATTAAAATTCATTTAATTAAAATGCATGATTCATATTGAGTCCTCCTTTTCATAAAGACGAGGGGAAAATAACCCTTACTGCAGTTCTTATGCTTGTTCTTATTCTCATGGCCTTGCACCTGCAAACCCTGATATTGTGGTTACTGCAGGTTTTCACGAAAAACAATTGCCACAGGGAAACAGGTGGATTCACCCTTCTACCTCTCCTTTCTTATCATGTGGTTTTAGCTTTTAATTTACATAAGGTTATCCAACAAAATGTACATACAAAGCTTAACAACCAATCTTCATGCAACTCATGTCCCCAAAGTGTGTTCCAATCACGACTCACAGCACCACAAGGAGCAGCAATCAAAGGGTGTTTTGAGCAGGTCCTGTTGAAAACTATAAGGTTCCCGTAGGAAAAGTGCTTTAAAGGAGGGGTCCCTGCTACACTGGAGCCAACACTTGCCCTCCTCTTCTCTCCTTTTGCTATTGTCATTCCACAAAAGTAACTTTCACTTTTAAAGTCAATATATGCCATCAGCTGCAGATGCTGCTAATAAATCTACATATGGTGTAGTATTTCCTTCCATGTCATGCACATAACTTGAAAGAAAACAAGCACACAGCACTCAGACAGTGGAATTCTACCTACAAACCAAGAGAGCCCCACTTGTGTATCTCAGTAAGTGGCAAGTTACACGCACACCCTGAACAAAAAGAGTTTTTATGGAAGTACACACCAGGAAATCCACTTTAAAGGAAAATATATTTCCTATTGGCTTTAAAAGATAATATGTTTGCTGCTACCTAATCTACTAGAATTATTTTCACTAAATCAGCTAAATACTTCTATAATAATCGTGTATTATTGTTTAGAGACAGGATTTTTTTTTTGCTATGAAAAACACACATATAAAAATAGAAAACTTACATGTTATTATGCCTGACTGATACATTAACTTTCCGGTAGAATAGTCCCACACCTTTAGATTAAAAAAAAAAAAAAAGAAAGAAATATAGGTATCTGGATCTGTAAGGAAAACACAACCTTCACTGGCCATCATGTGGTGACAACAGAGAAATGCAGTCATTGAAAGGGATGTCCTTTGGTTTTTCTTCAGCACTTGTTTCCAGCTATGGAGGGCTTTGTTTAATTAATAAGCATCCATGGTGAAAAAGGTGCAACTCTTGTGGTATGGATATATGAAGTAATTAGAAGTACTTGTTATCTTTGCTTAGGCTGATATCTTAGTGATTTAAGCTAAATTAATGAAAAGATATACTTGAACCAGTTCTAGATTTCACACAGGGAGCTTGTATAATTTCACAATTTCCAGATTAGGCTCTGGGATAAGAGGTCATTATTAATACTAATGTTACTTATTATGATCTATAGATCCACATACAAGTCAACTTTCATTATTGACAGGTTTCTAAGATGCATGCTATGCTTAATAGTTGATAAAGAAAGTTAAATAAAACCAAATGTTTCCTCTCATGTTGTTATTTTTATGAGCCTTTCTCTCCACACATACTTACACTGCATTTATCATAGCTGTCATATCTGGGACTAAAAATTCACAGCCAAACAGTCCCTTTTTTCTGAACATGACTGTGAGCTTCTGTTAAGATCCCAAGTTTTTCTCTTTGTTTATGATTCTCTCTGAATGTAAACATCATTTTACTGAAAAGATGTTTCCTAAGACCTAATTTTACAAACTTATCTGAAGAGATCACCATCTATTTCTGAAAAAGGACCAGGGGAGTGTTAGGTTTTGGACATGGCAAATCCTACAATCCCAGGAACCAACTGTCATAGACCCCAGCAAGGCTGCTCTCAGAGAATTACCCCTGACCTGAAGAATCAGGCAGAGAAAATAAAATTGAAGACTTGCTTACTGAATTATTTTAGAGACCTGCAAAATATTTTCATTTGATTGTCATTTAAGTCCCAACATTCTTTAAGTTTAAAAAAGCTAAAAAATTTATTCACTAGAATTTTGCATAATTTATCAAGTCTTCATTAAATTATTATGAAGAAGCATATAGATCTTTTCTCTAGTCATTTTTACAGAGAGGAAAGGAAAGGAAAGGAAAGGAAAGGAAAGGAAAGGAAAGGAAAGGAAAGGAAAGGAAAGGAAAGGAAAGGAAAGGAAAGGAAAGGAAAGGAAAGGAAAGGAAAGGAAAGGAAAGGAAAGGAAAGGAAAGGAAAGGAAAGGAAAGGAAAGGAAAGGAAAGGAAAGGAAAGGAAAGGAAAGGAAAGGAAAGGAAAGGAAAGGAAAGGAAAGGAAAGGAAAGGAAAGGAAAGGAAAGGAAAGGAAAGGAACCCACAATCTTTGATATAGCAAGTTTTAATTTTACTTTAGCTTGTAGAACCAAATATTGGGAAAAATTATTTAGAATAATTTCGAGGACAATCAGTAGCAGATTAAAATGTATCTAACTAGGGTACCCATTCCAATATCTCCAAAAAGACACACCTAGGTTCACTCAGGCTCTTCATTTCCCCTTAAGGTCTAAGTTGTCTACAACTGTCATCATGTGCAGCAGCAGATCCATGGCATCATAGTATAAAAATGTTGTCTGGCAAAAATCCTACCAATATGTAATAACTCAGCCACCACACAGAATAACCCAAACCAATATTCCCAAAAGGGAAAATTCAAACCAATGTCAGCAGACTCAAAGGGAAATAATTGCTTTCAGTTCAACATAAGTGAAACACTTCAGTTACAACCAAACTGATCAAAATATTTTATTTCTATTTGTCAAATTATAATAATGACCAAAGTTAACAGTTCACTGTGGAAAGCTTTGAATATACAAACCCTGCATTGTTCTTTAAAAAAGAGTAATTGATTTTTACAATCATTGCCCAAGCAACTCTAACAGCAATGCCCTCATCCCTGTAAAGTCAAAGAGGTTTCTTGCTTAATTTTCAGAAAATATTTACAGGGAAAAAAAGATTACTTCACATCTTCACTAAATAATAATTTTTTTTAAGTTCAGTTCTAAAATTTCCTTGCCTTAAAGGTTCTGTCTTCTGACACTGATATGAGCACACTTTTCTCCCACGTGCAAAACTCAGCAGCAGTCACTGGAGCCAGGTGGCCATCCAATTCAGCTAGTATAGCTTCATTCTGTGATCAGTCAAGTCAAAAATAAAAACAGATTAGATTTCAAACTAAAATTGACAATTATGTAAATGTTTTAATAATTAATAACTGTTGCTAAACATTGTCAGATTTAGTTTCAAAGTATAATTCAACCATATTTTTCTTATAGAAACTGCAGCCCTGTATATCATCCTGCTGGCAAAGCCATGATGCATTACATTTGTGTCTTCAGAATGAATGATACAGGCATAATTTTTCAGATGACATAAGAATTTTTCTTCTTCTAAGTTACTGAGCTATTGTTTTATTTCAGCTTCTTTCACCTAGTCTTCTATCTGGTATATGATGTATTATCAAGCATAAGTTCATACTTATTTTAAGAGATAAAATGAATGCTTTTGCTTAATTATACTAACATTTCTGTATCGTGAAAGTAAAATATTTGAAAGTGAATAAGTTAAAGAAATACCAGCATCATGGCTACAAAGGATGGTATCTCACCTTTGCACTTAACATGTAGATCTGATTTCCAGCACATACTGCCACTTGTTGATCATCTGGGCTAAATCTTACATGAAGAACCATTCCCAAAAGAGTTCCTATAACAATTCCTCGAGGTGTAAACCCTGCAGAAAATTTATTGTTAATAAGATTCAATGAAATATAACACCCTGGTGTAGTGATATTCTTAGAAACTTTGCATAATAGATATCTAACCACAGAGCCATCCCAGTTTCTGTCACGAGTAGGTGCAGAAAAACAGAGTATAATTACACCAAGGTATTGGAAAGAAAAGCACAGAACTATGTGCCAGCAGAATTCCTCCATCTGACTTGTTGTCTAGACATGATCTGGTACTCTTTGAGATATCAATAATGCCCACCAAATCATGCTTCCATTGAAGATTGCCAGGGAGAGGATTTTTGGAGTTGGGTGATGTGCCCATGGAACCCAGTAGTGCCATGTTCATTTTGGAGGTAAGAAATCCTGACTGAAGCTCATCAAAACAAGGCTTTGAAAAATACTTCTTCTGGGAGAATATGCCAGCCACTCAGCCAAAAGGTTAAGTGGGACTTTCCTTCTCTTCTTTTAATTCTTCTGTGGGGAAAGACTGAAAGAGGAAGTATACATCATTACAGAGTCGGGTAAGACTAGTTTTGAGAACAGGTCATGTTTTATCCCTCTCTTCATGGTTTCATTCTGGTCATCTCACTGGTTCAAGCAGACTGGTTTGTGCAGATCCCTGTTTAATGATGCAACCTTTAATGATGCGAGGGCAGTTTGGACATCTAATTAAATTTTAGGCTTTCATAGGGAACAAGTTAACTAGGGTACAGGCACAACAATTACAGGTGTTCCATTCAGGGTTTCATCTGAGATGCCATGGAATGTTTTTACAATCGATTAACAGCTCAAGATATACCAGGATGGAGAGATGGATCCCACAAAGAACTCCTTAACTACTTTGTTACAGTTTATAAGAATATAGTCTGAGAAAATATGCCAAGAATGTGCAGACAACAGCCTGATGAGACAAAGACTATACAGCATCTACTGAAGAGCCCATAGATGGAGAGAAAAAGACAATGAAAAACCCAGCAGTGGAGAATATGGCTGTCAATTGTCTTTGTATTAAAACTACACATACTGTTTCTGTCTGCCATTGTCTATTCCTATCTTCCTTTTTTGTTTCCTCCAAATTCATAATCATATTTTATTCCCACTTCCTAAAGGACCCCTTGATTCTGTGTCATGTTTACATGGATTAAAATGTAATAATGACATTTATTATAAAAAGCACTTAAATTGTACACATTTCTTCACAGCACTATTTTTCATAATATGTAGGTTTGCTAATTCAAAGTGGAGTACAGTACAAGAGAACTCCCTCACATTAAGTAATAGGCAAATCTCTAACTACAGGCAACAAGAAGAAAACTTTTAATACCATTGAACAATGCCATGCAACTTTCAATATTGACACCAAAGTGGCACTGTAATACCTCTCAGTTATCATGCCATAACAATACATTTTGGACAGAGTGTCACTGGGAAACCAGTAAGTTATGACTCTGCGGCTCTTGCTCCTGGTTGTTTTTTTTCTTTCATTGTTCCTCTAATTTACAATCTATTTAAGCTTGAAGAGGGGTTAACACTGCTCCCTGGAATCTAACTCCATTTGTTAAGGTTCCAAACCAAGATGGTAGTCAGGATACTAACAGTCCCTGTGTTATACTCTCACACCTCTCTTTCAGTCATGCGCTCTCCTCCCAAATCAGATACTTGCCACACATGACAACAGGCAAAAATACTTGCCACACATGACTACAAAGACAGAAAGAGAGGCAGGACCAGACAAAGCAGGATGCAAAACACTAATTCCACAGATACTCCAGGCAAGGTATCATTCACTTATTCTGGCATTGCATGTTTAATCCCGTAGTGCTGCTTTGATGAAAATTTTTTTCTGCCCGTTTTACTCCAAGGTGGTAGAACGCCAATGCCCCCGCAGTGCTCCCCCGAGTTTCCTCTGCGGTTGCTGTCGGGCGTTTGTCCCGCACAGCACCTCGGCCAGCTCCCGGGGCCTGCAGCCCCCGGCCCGGCACTCCCTCCGCCTGGGCTCCGTGGTTGTTAATGCGGGGTTTTCTGATAAGGTACGATGACCTGACAGGCTGGGCTACTGGCCTGGTTCAGCTTGGCATTGCTGAAGATGTGCACAAGAGAAATAAAGCATTACTATCACTGTTACAGCTGCTGAATCTGGGTGGCTAACACATCCTTCCCAGAAATAACAATCTTGTTACAGAAGGAGCAGTGGGACAAAAGGAAGTGCTGGAAGTTGACTTCCAAAGGTGGCCACTGCTCAGAGACTGGCTGGGCATTGGTCTGAGTGACAGTGAATGATTGCCTTTGCATCACTTCTGGGTTTATACATATAAATAATATAGTATAAATAATACACTACCTTCTTGCACCTTCTGTGTGCATTCATCAATATTCCACACTATCACACGTTCACGAGAGGCAGAGCAGAGAAGAAGTGGATTGATTTTACTTCCAAATGACAATGCAGAAATTGAGTGATGATGCCCTGACAAACGCAATGGCTGACAAATGTAGATAAAGAAGAGTTAAATGAATCACTTCAAACAAAGATTATGAACAAAATTAGAAATGGATAATGTACATGCAATCAACAAAACAATAATTTTTCTGCATTGTTTCAAAATTACATAACCAGCTACAATATAGCTGTCCTGAGTTTGGCTGGGATGGAGTTTACTTTCTTCATAGCAGCTTTCATGGTGCAGTGCTTTGGATTTTGTGATTAAAACAGTGATAATAACACAGCAATGTTTTGCCTGTTGCCAAATGCTGCTTGCACAACATCAAGGCTTTCTCAGCTTTCCCACTTTTTCCCACCGACCCATCCCTAGAAAACAGACAGAAGATGCACAAGAGGCTGCAAAGGGACACAGCTGGAACACGTTTGTCAGTTTGCTGCCATATGACATTTTGCTCAGCAATAAAACCCGAGGTATTGGATGAAGAAGGTGTTGGGGCCTGGGATACTGTCTTCTAAGGTGGCTGTTGCTCAAAGCCTGTACTGGGATTGGTCTTGCTGCGGGTATTAAGATACTGTCTTTGTACTGTTTCTTTCTCTGTCTTCCCTCCACTCATTAAAGTATCTTTTTCTCGACCTGTGACTTCTTCCCGCTTTTGCCTGCTGGGAAGGAGTGAGGAGGAGACTGGGTGATGGATTAGCTGCCTGCCAGGGTCAATCCACCACAACAGCTTGTATTATTCTTATCACAACAACAAAGCCCATAACAAACGCTAGAATCTTTCCAGCATTACAGTGAAACCTGATACTTCTACATTACCCTCAAGTATTTTATTTATATCTCCTTTTAAGCCGTAGCAGTCGATGAAGGGATATAGTCTGTCCTTACCTGAGCAGTGGCTGTGTTCCAGACGCACAGCTCGCTGCAATCCACGGGGAACGCGCAGTGGTGGCGACTGCACGCCAGCTGCACGAGGGGCTCTGGCAGTTTGACTTTAAACGCTCGTTTTTGGCAGACAACGTCAGGATCGCGGCTTCCTCCAGAGGAACACTGCCCCCCGGCGCCTTCCATCCCGCGGGGCGCAGGGTCCCGCGAGCAGGCGGAGC